GATTTCAAGACAGCAGAATGATTTGTTCAACTTGACAAAATGTGCTTGTAATAGGAACTCTGGGGAAGCAAGTAAAACCAGAGGCTTCTGATCATCAAAAGCTTTCCTTCAGTAAAATAATTGGTTTGCGAGAATGCATCCTGCCTTTCTCTTGGCATGAGCCCACCTGGGTCAAGACCCTGGGTGACCTTCTCCTGTTGTGCATATGAATACTTTGCTGGCATAAAAACATGTGTTCAACACTAAATGACACTTGTTCTATAATAATCGACAAAATGTGTGCTCACATAAGAACCACCCTGCCTTCAGGAAGAATAACTGCGTACTTTCTACACCTCACTGTCATTTCTACTACCACACACTGACCAGGAATGAGTCAGCTTCTTTCGAACAGAAAGGCAAACCCTTTGCATTCTACACCTCACTGTTGCCCTGACTACCACACACTGACCAGGAATGAGTCAGCTTCTTTCGAACAGAAAGGCAAACCCTTAGCATTCTACACCTCACTGTTGCCCTGACTACCACACACTGACCAGGAATGAGTCAGCTTCTTTCGAACAGAAAGACAAACCCTTAGCATTCTACACCTCACTGTTACTCTAACTGCTGCATATTGACCAGGAATCAGCCAGCTTCCCTCCGACAGAAAGGCAAACCCTTTGCATTCTACACCTCACTGTTGCTCTGACTACCACACACTGACTGTGAATCAGTCAGCTTCTCTCCGAGAGAAAGGCTCTGAATACTGCATATTGACCAGTATGAGCCAGCTTCTCTCCTACTGTCCAAATAAATACCTGTTATCAGCTGGCTATGCCACAGAAAGTTCCACTACTGCCACTTCATGCTCTACTCAATGCTACACCTCAGTTCAGAAATATGTCTCCTTGTGAAACAGATGACCCAGCTAATAGAGGGCACCAAGTTTGTTTAAGATGATCACTGGTTTGTCTCATCATGTCTGCAGCGACGCCAACCAATCTGCAACTTCTGGAATAATATCAGCATGATTTGGAATGCACAGAAAGATCAGAAGATAGTTTTCTGAACATGAAACTGTATTCCCCCCACTCCCCCCCCCCCCCACAATTAAAAGCAATATCAAAGGCTTTACACATAATAACTTTAAAGGAGAAAAATATGATATTACTGCTTGTATTTACCCATTTTTGGGGCAGCGTCAGACAGAGGGGTCGGGATCCCGAGGATTTAGTGCCGCATGGATAGTACTGTTGCCATGGCCTGTACAGGTGAGAATTTTATTTCTTTTGGTTGCAGAAAAAAAATCCTGTCATTTACTAGGGATTCAAACCTGAGTCTTCTGAATTCAAGGTCAGCATATTTCACAGTTCAGCCAGAAGTTTCTCTACACATACATATTTAACATTCAGAAATACCTGCAAACCATGGAAGACCAGTATGTGACACAAATAATTTCAAGAAATTGTTGTCAGACAGGTAATAATGGACAATTATATGACAGTATCATAAACATAAAGCTCAAGGAGAGAAGTAAAAAGAGGTGAGCTAAAGACGCTTGATAGAGATATATAGAGAAAAACCTGTCAACTGAATAAGTAGAAATGTATATCTCTAGATTCCACAGAGCAAAAGAGCAAACAGACCTAAAACACATAAAAATAAGAACTACAGACCGAGAGCAATATGACAGGCAGGACATGGAAAGAACTGCAGCAGATGGCTACAAATGATTGGCCTGAGTTGGTAAAGCAAATACTTTATTGAGAGATAAAATTAAATAGAAGGAGAAAGAGGAGGAATAGAAGGGGAAGAAGTAGCAGGATAGAGAAAAAAAAAAAAGAAGCATTTTAATTTTAAAATATTTATCTACAACAATCTGTAACATCAACAGAGTTTTGAAAACAAAACTAGCAAATAACTGTCATCACACTTTCAGACATCAGTCAGCCTGAATATATTTAAACTGCACTTCTTTAAATTTGCTCTCATTGATATCTCCAAACAGTTTATTTCAAACTGGCCAGACGACAATGTGGCTATCTCCAAACAGTTTTATTCAAACTGGCCAGCCAACAATAAAGCTGCTTTAGGAATATGTTAGTTAAGTGATATTGTGTGTTTGTGTCTGTACATGTGGTTCTGTTGATTTATGTAATGTGCTGATGTAGGCTCTGTAGCCGCAACATTCTTTCCGTTTGTGTTTGTTATACTGTAAAGCTCACTGGTTTACTATTCATTTGGTTTTTTATCTTTTCATGTCTTCAAAAGCAGCATGTTTCGGCTAAAATAACTGTCTTTCTTCTAAGGAATTTATTACACACTCTCTTATATCTCTAACTAGATTTTGTTGTAGCTTACTTATATTTATAATTCTTGCAGATTTTCTGCTCCCACATAAAAATATCCTTATTAAAATTGTTTATAGGCATGAATACTTTGTAGCATAGTTAGGTTAACAAAGATTTTTCCTAACAGCTTTTAACAATAGAGAAATCTTTCCAAAAAAATATTCTCAAATGATGATTACAAAGGTACAGCATAATGTAAATGTACAAGCTCATTTAATGTTATAACAGTGGCAGCCTCCGTGGCAAAGTGGTCAAGCTGTCTGCCGCATGCTCTTAAAGTCATGGGTTTGTTTCACAATTCCTTAGCTCGGTTCACAAGTGCAAATTTTTTTTTCAAACCTGGGGATTGTGCCTGGAGCTACAGTGCTCGTACTTTCTTCAATGCTCACGGCAACGGCTAACCATTCTTTATTGGGTGAATGTTGAGGTTACGGAAAAGTTTTTTTTTTTTAAACAGCTTAGCTGAAATAATCTAACATTTGTAGCAGTCCTTCAATTTTTTTTTTAGCAATGTATTTTCAAGCATTTAATTTAAAAAATATGTACAGACAAAAAAAAAAAAATTGGACAAATTGAAGCAAACTAAATATTGAGCCAATCCATATTTGTGTATATACAAAGTGAAGAAATAAAGGGTACAGCTAGCATAAAGGGAATGTCTTGGAAGTCGTGTGATCCAATCCCATGCTAAAGTGTAGAAATATTAACACTTTAAGAAAAAACAAGCAAATGTAATGTCTAATGATATGAGAGAGAGAGAGAGAGAGAGAGACAGAGAGAGAGACAGAGAGAGAGAGAGAGGGAGAGAGAGAGAGAGAGAGAGAGAAAGGGGGGGGGGGGTTTCGGATAGATAAAAGAAAGAAGAGTAAAGGCTGTAAGTATACAAACAAGAAGATATGTGTTATAGTAAAAACACAAACACATTGCAGATGTTAACAAACATTTAGCAGGTAAAACTAAAGCTGCTAAACAAGGTGCTACTTGAACAACTTTCAATGCTTCCATACCCCCCCCCCCTCCTCTCCCCCACAATTTCTCTAATCTTGAAAGCCATCAGCTTTTTTTTTTTTTATGCAGAATTCAGCTGATTAAATTTGTATAATACAAGAAGTTAATTTTCTGGAGGATCTATTAAATCAACCAATCCATACAGATATTAAACTACAACTATGTTCAAAACACAATAATATAACAGATGCAATCTTGTATAATAAATCACTGACCAGTTATATCATGTAAATTCTCATCTGACTGACTGACTGTTAATCCCACCAGGACAACACGACGAGCGATCAACACCCGGTGATAAAAACTGCCACCATTCGGATGAGGATCAACAGGGCACAAGTCTCAGAAACCCCATTCAACACATAGGTAGGGTTATATTGGTGCCCCTGGCAACAGCCAGGGTGGGTTTTTCAAATAACCAGAAAAAAAAAAATTGCATCCAACACTGGGACACAGTATATTAGGATAAAATTCCCATAACGGATATTATCACACATATTATTTTAAAATATAGCTGGAAAAATTAAAAATACAAACTTTCTTACCTTCCTGTTGACAACTTTCATAACTGTGAACTACTTGGGTGCATATATATATATATATATATTCAACAAAACAGATTTAATTTTTAAAAACATAATCATATACCAAGATATTTGTATCTTCACACTCTCTGTAATGCAGACTTTAAAAACAAATGCAAAATAGGTATACTTTTTCTTCCCCCACTGGAATATGAAAGCAAAAAAAAAATTGCTAGTCAGCTAGTCAACATAACTTCTAAACAGAAGTAGGAATTTTTGAGTTCCAAGTCAAAATATTTGAATTATTCTAGTGGAATCAATAAAAATGCTTATGAAGTAAGTACTGTGAACAAAAACATGGGCTCTCCTTCAAACTTCTACCCCATATTATGGAGGCCTAACAAATACCCTAACAGGGCCTCAGTTGTGTGTAAAATGCAGACTTCCTCCGACAAACACATCGTGGCAAAACTAGGATTACTGCCCGCTGACAGTTTCGAAAAACGCAACAATACACACGATAATATTAATAGCTAAATGGCGGGGAGACCACATGCTCCGACGCAGGTTAGCGATAGTGGTCTTCCGATTGAACACACTGCTGAGCGTATTCCTGACGCCGCTGCGCGTGGCGTGGATGTGGGGCTAAACTAGACGGCTGAGACTCACAAGCAGCAGCTACCGGATCTCCTCCAACTTCCTCCAATTTATTTGCTCGTGAGTCCCAGCCATCTAGTTTAGCCCCCAATCCCCCACCTCGCGTAGCGGTGTGGGGAATACTGTCGGCGGTGCAGCATAGTCGCAGAAACAGGTCCGCAATTAACATATTTCTGAGACCCTGTTAGAGTATTTGTTTGCCCTCGATAATATTGGCCTGTTATTGGGAGGCAATCCTAGTTTTGCTGCGATTTGCTTCACAGCAGGCACTCTGCAATTTGCATATGACTGAGGCCCTGTTAGGGTATTTGTTTGGCCGCCATAGTATGGGGTAGAAGTTCGAAGGAGAGCCAAAACATGTATATAAAAGTTGTCCTTTTCTATTTAATCACATATGTATCTTCTTCAGCTGATTTCTGTTCATTTAATGATAAAACTGCCTATTGACTAAATACCATAGACTACCCAAACCTGCTGATTAAACATTGGACCGCGGGTGAAACTCAGAAAACATGAGTCCTGTTGCTGAAATGGCATCCCCTAAACCTACAGTTTTTGTTGGATTTTTGCACACTAAAACAGGACTGAACACAAACAAATAGCCATCTTTCCGCCAGGACAAGACAGGGTTGTTCCCATCAAATACCCTTTCTTCATCACCAGAGAAAAGCTTAAATCTCAGAGGAATCTGAAGCTCCATAAGTTCTGCTTTTAGCTGAGGTATATCACATGCTTGGTGCCCTGCCACCTGGGTGCCAGCAGCTGTTGCCTGCTCCACATTAGACCAGTGGGATTCCACTACAGCTACAATATGATACGTTAGGGAATGAAAATGTATACGTGTTAATCTAGCATCAGGATTCTTAGAAGAATACCCATAATTTTGTAGGAACCAAAGAATGATATCAGAAATTACATGAATTTCAGGTTGTCCATGTTCATCATGATCAAAGTGATCATGATGTGGTCCATCAGAAGCTTTGGATGAAAACACAATCTCTTGTTCGTTGAGGCCAAGAGAATCTACATTTGGCACAATCTGAAAATTACAGAAAATATTTATGAGAATCAACAACTGAATTCATAATCTGTTAGAAACATCACTAATTACTGGCATTTATATAATAGCTTTAATACAGGTTGCAGCTGCACAGTTGTGGGAAGATGCGATAGCTGTAAGCATATTTTAATTTCAAAAAAATTTATTTAAAAGACTGATGGTGAACAAATCCCATTTTTTCAAAAATCATATGACATCATCCCTACATCAACATAATATCTCATTACAACATCACTTTTCTGCATGAGGCTATGGTCGATGGAAGGAAAACAGTTCACTCTTTGCTCTGGGTGGTCAATTGATACATGACAAGGCAAATGTGGTCAAGGCCCTTTGGAACAAGCAACATAATCAGTAGAGATTATTATTATGGCCTGGAGAGAATGAGGCACCTGGGTGTAACCAGAGGGTCTGGCCGACTCACTACACTCAGAGGAAAGGCAAGAAGGACATATAATTAGATTGTGACCGGTACCATCAGTACTAGAACTCTGCGCTGACTGCTGAAGATGAGGACTGAGCATGTATGGGAATGCCCAGAGTGCTGTAGTGTCAATTCTTGACTCAACATAACTCTTTCCTCTGTTCATATTTAGTGACTAATTCCCTCACTAAAAAAAATTATTTCGCTTATAAAATTGAATTGAAAATATGATAATAGTTTAGTGATTTGGCAGTCATGATGTCGCAGTGGCCATCATACTTGCCTATCTGCTCGGTGGTCAAAGATTTCAACCCCTAGATTTGAATAAAAACTGACCCCCAATTACTTTTGCTTCTTCTTTTGGGGAGCCACTGTGGTGTAGCTGCTAGACCCTGCATGCAGATTGGAAGGTCTTGGGTTCAAATCCTGATAGAGCTGGACTATTTTTTTTAATGATGTTGGTCCAGGTTGACCCAGCCTTAAATAGGTACCAGGTAAAGTCCTAGGAAGTAAAAGCAGCTTGTGTAATGGTGTCTATACACCCATGGAGTGCCATTTGGTCTTTAAAATATAGGTCTAGCTATATGCCCAATGCTCCTGAAGGCATGGAAAAAGATTGTTTACTTACTCTACTTCTACTTCTCTTCCTCTAGTTTCTTAGGGTAGAGTTTAAGGGAATTATAAGTAGGAATTTCTTTTTAGTTTTTAGTCATTGATTTTTCTAGGTAAGCGCACTGCCCTCCACTTTCCATCTGGTATGCTTGACAGAATTGTCTTGTTTCATATTGCATTGCAGATTTTGTATAACAGTGTGCGGTTTTCAAGTACAGTCCCCTTTTTCTATTCCAGTACGTGTTGTCTATTGCAGTAGGCCTTCTGTATTACAGAGCATGTTTTCTGTTACACTGCTTGTTTTCTTCTTTTCCTTCCATGCGTTCACTGGCTGTAAACTCCAGCAGAAAGTTCTGGTTGTTCATCCACTTATGAACTCTAGTTCTGTTTCAAAAAACTGAGTGTTTGCTTGTACATCTGCTTCATAGGTCTGACTCTTCTGCATGCAGGCTGTTTGATCCTTGACTCTCAGGCAGATGTACTCCGACTTCAAAGGAAGCTCCCAATTAGTTGACTCTTACGACATGCTTTTGGAAAGGCAATGGGTCTATTCTTGTTTTACCCACAATGGGGCCCCGGAACCCACACGGGGAGCGTGTTTTTTTAATTAAAGTGCATGTTTTCTTTTACAATGCGCATTTTCTATTACAGTCAGCATTTTCTATTACAGTGTGCGAATTTTCTACTACAGTAAGCCATTTCTATTGCAGTGGGCGTTTACTATTACAGTGGGTAATTTCTTTTGTTGTAAACATTTTCTATTACAGATTTTTTTTTTTTAGCGAGTGTTTTTGGTGCATGTTTTCTTATATTTTCTATTATAGTTCACTTTCTATTGTAGGTGTTTTCTATTTTAATCAGCATTTTATATTATAACTAGCCTTTGCTATTGTAGTGAGCATTTTCTATTTTAGTGCGAGTTTTCTATTATGGTGAGAGTTTTCTCTTACAGAGTGAATTTTTCTATTACAGTGGGCATATTTTATTGTAGAAAGAATTTTCTACTGTTAGTGAGTTGTGTATCCTTTACAAGACATTGCAGAACCAACCTAAGTATTTTTGGGCTTTTGTGGTTTTTCTAGGTAAACTTACATCCAGTGGTTTGCCATTGCTTTTTGGACGGTTGGCTTCTCGATACCATTGTCAAAACCAACACAAGGCCCGCAGTTGGGATTGAACCCAGAATCCCGGCATTATGAAGTTTGTTCACAACACCTAAGCCACAGATAGCGATATTTTCTACTGTAGCAGACATTTTCTATTACAGTGCGTGTTGCCTATCACAGTGCGTTTTCTATTTTAGTGAGCGTTTTATATTAAAAAAGGCTTTATCACAAGCATTTGTTAATGTTATAACCATTCTGAATTGGCCCAGAAATTATGTGTGTTTTAATAAATAACCTTCCTGAAATATCACACAAATGTGTAAAAGAAGCTTTTCATCAAGAGTTAGCAGTTGGGCACAAACAAGAGTAGATGAATTCTTTCAGTATTCTCATTCTTTGGGAAATTTTGCATAAGAAAGAACATAAGCAATACTTTTCACAAAAGACTAGATCAGAAAGGCTCAATGTGTAGCTCAATACTGGCATGTATCTCTTCCTATGTCTCCCCTGCAGTTGCCATCTTTTGGATATTTTCTATGATCCTAGCAGGTGTGTTGGGAAGCAAATATACAGACAAATTAGCTGGTGCCGCACCAGCATGGCAAGCTACATATGGTCAAGGCCACTTTGGAGAAAGTGAAATATTGAAAAGCGCCAACAGATAATAAAGATTTCGAAAATGCAACAAGTCCCGATCCCTTCAAGTGGATGTGTCATGTATATTTGTCATGGCCAACTCCTGTCACAGTGATGTATGACTGATCATTACATTCCACCATCAATAATTTATTCTTATCAGTATACACCTGTATCATTAGTAATCAGTGACCAGTCTGCAATGGTCAGTTTCTCTAAATATCCAGTTAAAAAGCATACAATCCTTTCGCTCTAGCAATTACAAAATATATATTTAGAAATCAATTAACCTTGTCTATGATTTGCTTCACAAATTCCTTGTCAGCCATACTGGCAAGTTCCAGGTGGATAGGAACAGAAGGTGGCACTTCACGAAGTAGAGAAACCGCTTTGTCCAGACGCTCCTTAAAAAACTCAGGACCCTGACTATCCAAAATCTGGAAACCTGGTTAAACAAGCATCATGTCTTCTGTTAATTAATTAGTATATGCTGACTTATTATGTTCTTTTCTCTGGAATACAAAAGGAAGAAGAAATCTAGTGAGACAGCATAAAAAGATACCTTTACACTCCCCCCTTCCCCTCCATACCTCCCATTCCCTAACATTTTTTTTCTGTTATTCTGTTCTGCATTTGCCCTTAAAAGGGTGGTCGACAGGTTGTGTTGTGGTTTATAGCTTGGCTATGTTTTATCTACCTTTTGGCCCGTCACATCTTATTTCTGCAAAACTTTAATTATAATTTTACATTTCTAGTTGGGGCGCTGGAAAATAACGTTTACACTTTTATCTAATTAGTGTGAAACAGAACACTAAGTATTGGCACGATCCTCCCTAGATAAATTCACTTTGAAACAACAAACATTTTAAAGAACAGAACACATGCAGCACATAAAAAGTTTTATATAACTCCCAAAAAATCAAGATTGTTGAAAAACAATAAAAAATCAGATAACCACCGACCTAAAGAACTAAACAAGCTGTCAAAGCATTGTTTAGATTGTTTATCTGGTAGGTCTAGCCTCAAACGGGTATTAGGAAATGTTCTTAAAAGTAAAGGTAGCCAGCGCGATATATATAATAATACCTATTGAGTGCTGATTGGTGTTTAAAATATCAGACTGGCACCATATGCCAAATATACCACAAGCCGTGGGTTTGAGGTCCCAAAAAGTGTCCCTGAATTGATTATATTTAAAGTGAAACAATATCCATCCAGAATATAGTCCTGAGGGCTCCATCAAACTCCTCACATAAAAGAAACAGACCCCTGTATTTAGAATGCAAACTGGACACAACAGACTCTTCATTTATTATTTCCAGGAAATCCAAAACTGGGAGCTCACAGCTTTGCCCGTGTGCACAGGCACCTGTGTTGAAGACATGTTCTGTGCATGCAACAGTGTGATCCTAGGTCTGGCCAGTTAGCCTTCGGGTTGTGTATATGCATTTTTTTTAAAGGCATCACAGCCTTCACAGAAGCCTGTGGCCTACTCACCTGACAACCACTTGCAAGGAGAATGAAAAGAAGATTATATTATTTAAAATAAAGAAAGCCAAACCAGAACTAACCTGAAAGAATAATTAAGTCAGGCTGGAATGTCTTGATACTTTCAAAAAATGGCTCCAGCATGATGATTTGAGCATTAGACAAATCATGGCTAGTAATGAACCTATTTGCCACAGGTGATGTTGCACTTCCCCATTGCTCTCCAACTTTGTATTCCATTATCAGATGAATTTCATCCTGAGGAATGCGGCAAGAATTTGGTATCTCTATAGCCACAGGCATCAGAGTCTGCAATAGTGGTCCCACCGGTCCAACAAAATGAATCTGGGAAAAAAAGAGATGAATGATATTTACAGCCAAATCTGGCATGACCATAACCTAGTGCATCTACAGAACCATATGTTGACTGTTACTGTAATCGACCCATTTTACAGAACCAAATGTTTTATTGTCATTATATTCTACAAGTTTTGTAAAACCAAATTTTTCTTCATTATTACTTTAATCTACTGGTTTCACAAAATCAAATGACTATTTTTCAAGCCTTCCTTCCTTTTATACTATTGTATTTTTTCACATCTTTTTTTTTTCAAAGTTTTTCATGTGACCCTTTAGTGGTTGTCTCCCCTCTCTTATTGTTGTATAGTTCAGTGTCAAGAAAGACCCAGGCCAAAACATTGATTTGTTTTGTGTTGTGCAAGTCGTTTTGCTTTCCATTTTCATCAATCTTTTCAGTCACAGTTCACTGGATTTATTTCTTAGAATCAAATGTAGACTGATTGTTTTTATAATCTAATAATTTCATCAATAAAATGTTTGTTTGGTTCCTTTCATGCCTTTTAGATGATTGGTAATGTTTTTACTGTATATAAAAAAAAAATTATCTTGAGACATTACACATCCCTTTTGTCTAACTCTCTTGACTGGGTTGGTACTGTATCCAGTAAATATTCTTAATCAGTCTGAGGTCTATCAACAATTTGAATTTTTTTTTTAAAGCATTTTTAAAATGCCAACATGTCATACTCTATCAAAAGCTTTTGCGTAATCAATGAAGCAGAGATGTAAGTGAGCAGAACATTTTCTAATAAAACAAGGAAATGCATAAGCTGACCATAGTAACCCCGTCTCCTTCATATTCACCGGTCGTGAACTCCCGCAAAAAGTTCTAGTTCATCTAATTCTGGACTTCAGTCTTTTTTCAGACCTTGAGTTTTGTGTGCACAAATGTTTTGCAGATCTGGCTTTTGTGTAAGCAGATTGTTGGCTCATTGCCTCTCAGGCCGATGCACTCCAATTTCAAAGGAAACACTGCTAGTTTGTTGACTTTTACGTTATGCTTGTTGTGGGGCAGTAGGTCTATTCCCTTTTTCCCAAAATGGGGGCACAAAACCCGCCCATGAAACCCTAGTAATACAATATCCCATGCCGTGTTAATGCACAACACATAATACATTTTATGACATTAGTTATTTTCAACAAATGTTTACACATGTGATTTAGTGGTGTACTGCTTGTACAATTCATATAGTTATATACAATATTCATGTAGTTATGTGAAATCACTTAAAGTCTTCTACTGTTAACTTCAAAGTTTGAATAAATCGGTTTAAATGAGTAGATATTAAAACTGACACATTACCCACTAAGTGCTGATTGGTCTAATACCATACACCCAATGTGTCAAGGGCATGAAAAGGATCGTTAGAAAACTGTTATACTTACTCGTAAGCTTGGAAATAAGTTTGATGCCTTTGTGGCCATGAGGGCAGCATTGCCACCAATAAAATGCTGTGTCAGAACAAAAAAACAATGTCACAAATGTAAGCAGGCTCTCATCAAAACTTAGAAATACGCACAAATATTATGTTAATTAACACATTTATATACTTACTAAGTTGCTCCTCTTCTACCTTGGGGTGTAGAGGTTTGCCAGAGAGATCGCTGGACCTCTCTACCAGCAGTTTTCTTCCTGGATTTGTTCCATCTTATATATATATTTCTTTAAATTTTAACGGCAATGGGGAAGGCTTGGTGTAGCAGAAAGCTGCTTAACTTCAGATCAGAAGGTCGTGGAATTCATTCCTGGCTGAGCCAGACTTCTAAAAAATGACCTTGGTTCCCAGATCAACCCAGCCTTAAATAGGTACCAGGTACAGTCCTAGGAAGTAAAGGTTGTCAGCGAGATAATCACCCACCAACTGTCTATAAAATATAGGTCTAGAACTACTTGTTCAATACCCCTGACGGTGGGTAAAAGGGTCCCTTACTTTAATGGCAATGAAGTGACAATCCAAGTACAGTCTAAAACTTTAACAAGGTTACAATCAAGTCAAGATTTAATTTACTAGTTTTAAAATGTACATAACCATGTTAGAGGTGTCAATCTCGAGAACTAAAACTATTTAAACACAAATAGAAAATTTGCAGTTTAGATATTTTTAAAAAAAGAGGCATACTAAATGCTTAGATATATACAATAAGGAAATTACTGAGGCATCAACGAATGTTGGAAAACACATTCACAGTCCAATATTCTACTAATGTGGCCACATTATTTTATCTCTATAAGTAACTGCATGTACTATAAAAGAAAACAGCCATATAGAGATCTTCTTCTTGGTTTTGTATGCTCGGGTCAGACCATCAGGGGGGTCGCCTCTCTGAATTCGCACATCACTTGCAAGTCCTGAATGGTTCACCACAGCTTGCTCTGCACACTTTACTCTTGAGGCCAGGTTTCTTTTTGAAGTTGCAAGTAGAATGGGCAGGTTTGCAGAATGTGCTCAGGTGTCTGTGGTCCTGTCTGACAGGCACACTGTGAGGACTGTAGCCTTTATTTTATGCATGTGGTAGTTGAGCCTGCAGTGTCCTGTTCGTAGAGGAAAATTGTATATTGCTTTCTGTTGAGTCTGCTGATGGGGCTTGTGGGTATTTACTGGTGGTTTGTTCTCTCCACAATTCCTTGTATTTTTTAAAATAAGTATTTTTAGTTCTGGAAATGACAATAAATAGGTGTGTTGTTTCTCTTTTGTTTCCATGTTTTGTGTGCAAGTCTGCTCTTGTTATCCACATCAGGAGGTGACAATTCACATTATTTGGGTAAATCAAGAGAAAGGAGAAAACTCAAATATTTCATGATAACAAGAGAGCTTAACTCTTTCAGTCCCACAAGGTCCTAGCAAATGTCTGAGGGAGTAACAAATGGCAATACTAAACTCAAGGGTTGTCTACTTTTAGAGAGGCCAAATATACAACCCTTGCAGGAAACAAATATTTTGTCAGAGTTCTTCAAAGTCCATGACCAAACATAAGATGTAAAAATATAATGGCATACTAACTGGCACATGTGAATAATACGCAATCGCACACAGTGCATTTTTTGGGACAGAAAGTGTTAAGGAGAAAATAAGACAAACAGGGTAAGATCATGAGAACAGGTGTATTTTTTATCATAGTATGGAAGAAAGTCTGTATACAAAAATTTTGATATCTGTATCAAAAATGATTAGCAGTATAATAAATACTACCTGAATGTTATTTAATCTTCCTGCAGCTTTGATTATCTTCTGAAAAACCTCACTATCTGTGAATGAGCGCTCCGCTGCGCTTCCTCTTGCAAAATAGTATGCAAATGTTTCCTGAAGGTCACGCAAGCCACCGAGAACATCATGATTCTTTTTGTCTCCGGGAGAAATGCTCAAAGCATCCAACAATGCAACACCCGGTACAATGATGTCAATGTTTGAGTTCACACTGCAATAAAGTATGAATATATCAAATAGAATACTTCTCTGGATCCCAAACATAAAGAGAACAGTAAACACAATTCATATTACTAGAAAATGTAATACTGATGCAGTTCAGCAAGTTCCTAAATGTTGACAATTCTTCTTCTTCAGTATTTCGAACCTTTGAGGTTCATTGCTGCAGATATCACCCACCTCCATTCATCTCTCTGGTTGGCCTTCTCTTTCCAGTTGGTGACACCAAGTGTTTGCAGGTCTGTCTGGACATTATCTCTCCATATTCTTCTCGGTCTGCCTCGTGGTCTACAACCATTCATCTCCCTTGTGTATACAGTGTTTACTTTTCTGTCCTTTGACATTCTTTCAATATGCCACAACCATTTCAAGGAATTCCAGAGAGATGAATATTAGTCAAATTTCTCTGGAATTCCTTGTTATAGCTTGACTGCAGTCACTCCCCCATATTTTCCCTAACTATTTCAGTCTATTGGCTCTCATGATGCCAGTGATAAGTGGTGATTTAAACAAATTATGAATTTCATTATTGCTTCTCACTCTCCATTCCCCGCTGTTTGAATCTTTGAGGGTTAAATATTTACAATTATTGTAAAAATGTAATTATTGTAAAAATTTAGTTATTGCAACTGGATAGTGGAACCTGCAGTAATAAAAGTGTGAGCGAGGTCTTCACTTATTGTTTTGTTATTTGAATATGTATGATGCAGTTCCAGAGATAATTGGTGCTTCAGAATTTTATGGATCCTGACAATAGAATAAATAAATTATTTATCAAAATAAGAGGTTTTTTTTTTTTTTTTTTTAGGTTTCAGTGATTTTCAGTTTTTACTATATATTTTGTATCAATAAAAAAAATTATATACGGAACACATGTAAGGGATCTGTGACATCATTTACGCACACAGACATTTAAAAAACAACAATCGGCAACCTCTGAGTGTGTGTGTGTGTGCACGCACAGGCTCGCATGTGTGTGTGAGTGCACACTTTTTTGAGACATGAAGAATTAAACAATCAGTTATTCATCTATTTTATAACCTGGTGTTTAAATTGCAGTGTTGGTTATAGGCCTCAATTTGGGGGAGCGGGGAAGGTGTGAGAGGAAGATGCGGAGGAACACTTCCACTGGCCCGTACCAAGCATGTTGTAAAAAGTGGCCAACTAGAAATTTGTTGAAATCATATAAATGTATGTGTGTGTGTGTACACGCGTACGCATGTGTGTAAAAAAAATTAGCAGGGGAAATACAATTCTTAACAATCAACCTTTATTCAACATTATTGCCATTAAGCTGGTGGTACGAGAGTTGCACTGTGGAAGATATTGAGGCCTCACTGCGTAATATTCACAAAGACAGCAGTGTACTTACTCTAGCCAACCTTCAACCCTTTGGTGTGGAGACAATGTGTGATTTAAATTTTAAGTCTATCTTCCGAATAACAGTCCCAAATTATCAAGGAGGAAAATATACCCTAACAGAGCCTCAGTCACGTGTTAATTGCGAACTTCCAGCGACTTAAATTGCGCACTATCGGCGACCTCCGCCACCGCTCACGCAGGGTGGAGTGGAGCTAAACTAGATGGCTGGGACTCACAAGCAGCAGCTACCACATCTCCTGCAGCTTACTTCATTTTATTTGCTTGTGAGTCCCAGCCATTTAGTTCAGAACAAATCCATGCCGCGTGAGCGGCGTGGTGGATACTCTCGCTGGTGGCAGTATAGTCCCCGGAAGATAGCAATTCGGGGGTGGCGGTATAGTCACCGAAAGTGCGCAACTGACACGTGACTGAGGCTCTGTTAGGGTATGTTTTCTGCCTCGATAATTTGGGATCGTTATTCGGAAGAAGATAACCAATTTTAACTATATTCATTGATATTACAAGTACATTTGTTTTTATGTTTTTTCCAAAACCAACAGTCTATTATATGAATAAGGCGAGAAAGTTAACAGCAAATTCTTCGATTCCACCATAATGGAATATTACTATCATTTCTGGCTACGCACCAATTCAGAATTTCAGATTCATTCTTACCCAACAGCCAGTTTCTTGAACTGCTTTTTGGGGGGTCTCACAAATTTGGTCCAGGACTTTATTATATTTCTTTCTACAACATCCAGATCGCCATCTGCATAATCGGCGTATTTGTAAAATAAAATAGATATGACAGCAAAGCAAATTGCAAGAATCAGTGTGGCTCTAGATGGAATAAACATTGTTATACAGCACAATAGTGTTGTAGCCCCGTTGGCAACAAGAGCAGAGGAAACACGGATACAGATCAATAGCGTTCGCTTTTAGTTGCAGTTATAGACCGCAGCAGTCGCAAATTTTGTACAGCCAGATAAGTTTACACGTAGCGCAATCTGATTATACCAAATATTTCAATAGTACATTTATAATCTATAATCTCATTATCATCATCAATAAGCAAGTCCTTTACCTATTGTCGCTCTCTACACGGCACTCCTGAAAGTATCCCTTTCCCTAGCCAGCTCTCCGGCTCCATGTGCTTTCAATACCAATGCATCTTCAATGTCTTGTATCCATCTTCGCGGTGGTTAACCCCTGCCTCGCCTTTCACAAACTGCACCTTCCATCGCCGTATTTTCCAAGCCACCATGACGCTTGATGTGGCCAAAATACTTCAACTTTCGGGACAGGATGCTGTTTATGAGCTAGTTCTCCTCGATGTTTAACTCGTTCAGAATGTCGTTGTTTTTGCTCTTCCTGATCTAAGAATTTGTCTATAAAATTTCAGTTCAAAAGCTCCACTCTTTTTCCTCAGTGACTGTGAGTCTAAGACTCGCAACCGTAAGTTGCCACAGGAAAAATGTATGATCTCAAGATTTTTACTTTAACCAATTTACTAGTGCCTTGCCATAGGTTCTTCGTGCTATTTAATCTCTGCATTGCCAATGCAAGTCTCCTTCTTCTTCTTTTTCTTCTTCTTCTTCTTCTTCTTCTTCTTCTTCTTCTTCTTCTTCTTCTTCTTCTTCTTCTTCTTCTATAATCTCATAACTGTTATAATTACAACATAAGCGGGGCAATATAAAACTGCTAAAGGTGTTGAGCGAAATTAAATAGTCAGTATTTAACAAAGACAAAAAGTTGTCGAGAGTGGAAACAATGGAAGACCCCGAAAGAAAGGTACAGAAGCACCATATAAGAAGATTACAAACCGAACGAGAAGTAAACTTATCTTTCACTAATCACAATCATAAACCACAAATGGACGCTGCGGCAATTAACCTTGACCAGCAGAACAACAAGGATAAACAAAACACAACATACGAGCATAAAATGAAATGCCGTAGACCTCTACAAACCAGCTTGATGATTTGGACTTAAATGACGATATTTAACTGCCGCAATCACGAAATCAGATGCAATATAAATATACCTGATGCGAGATCACAACAGCAAGGTCTGAAAATCCATAAGAGAAAGATTAAGATAGTAAGAATAAATCAGGAAAATGGTGAAATGGTTTCTCTTAATCGTATCTGACTCCAAGATTTGGAGTCGTAAACTATTTTGGCAGTAATGAGATAAAGATGGGGGAACTGACAGAGATATTAAAATGTGAAGACAAAAGACAAGTCCTCGGAAATTTGTGGAGGTCAAAAGAAACTTAAAACGAATACTAAACTTTAAAAAAAAAATTATTTATAATGTTAATTATAGCACCCCCCCCCCCAACTCTGTTTATGTGATAGGAGTGCTAGCTGTATCATCTGCAAAATTAAGGTCCTCAAGGATGGTGACTGGAGTCCACCGTATGCCTTTCAATGTCTTGTCTACTGTGTTTTTTAGTATCCAATCAATCACAAGGGATCACATGACACATCCCTGTCTTACACCTGTCTTTACTAGGAAAGATGTATTGTAATTTTTATACTGTAGGAAAAGTCTTTATAGAAGAGAGCAGTTATGTTGACTTTCTTTTCTGGAATTCCATAATGTCGTAATATTTTCCAGAAACTGTCTCTGTGGACGCTGTCAATAGCTTTCTCAAAGTGCGCGCGCACACACACACACGCACGCACACACACACGCACGCAAGCATGCAGCACGCTCACATACACATACAAACATACATACATACATACACACACACATACATACATACATACATACATACATACATACATACATACATACATACATACATACATACATACATACATACATACATACATACATACATACATACATACATACATACATACATACATACATACATACATACATACATACATACATACATACATACATACATACACACGCACGCACGCACGCACGCACCCACCCACCCACGCACGCACGCACGCACGCACATACATACATACATACATACATACATACATACATACATACATACATACATACATACATACATACATACATACATACATACATACATACATACATACATACATACATACATACATACATACATACATACATACATACATACATACATACATACATACATACATACATACATACATACATACATACATACATACATACATACATACATACATACATATACATACATACATACATACATACATACATACATACATACATACATACATACATACATACATACATACATACATACATACATACATACATACATACATACATACATACATACATACACACATATATTTAATGTTAACACACAAAAACACAGGAGAGAGGAGCTAGAGACTGAAGTTAAAGAGATAGGAAGGACATGGGGAGAGCTGCATGCAGTAATGACGGATAGAACCACTTGTCGTGAGTTGGTTGGGGACCTATGCTCGGTTGAGGGATAGAAAGTAAAAGAAGAAGAGGGAGAAATAAATATAACAATAGACTCGAAATAATGGGAACTTTGTGAACCAATACATTGAAAGATAATTTACATACATGAATTACAGTGGGCATCTTTACCCCCTTACAAAAAAAAAATTGTTTGGTGGCGGGGGCGGTACTCTTCCCCGTAATTTTTTTTTCAATGGTGGAGGGCACTTATGTTCCTGAGCCATACACCCCCCCCCCCCCCCCCACCCCCACTGACCCACCTAAATATTTGCCTAAACAATGTGTCAGGTGGTGAGGAGGATGCTGCCTGTGGTTCTCCTAGTGTTTTCTTACATAGCTGGAGGGGAGAGGGCTGAAGGCGTCTGAACTTCCACCCAGTTTTTGCATAGGTGGTGAGGAAGGTGTGGTTTGGGGTGAATCTGAGACCCGCTTTCAATTTGTTTGCTTGTTTAGGGGATGGAAGTGGAAGGGGAAATTGGGGTGGGGGGGGGGGGGGGGGGGGTCATAGAGGCCTTCTCCTCACATTCAAATGTTACAATTTATCTGGTGAAAGAGATGGCGAGATTGAGCATCCCCTTCCCCCACCCACCCCACCCCACCCAAATTTGGGAGGTCCGTACATAAATCTAACATATACAAGTGATAGAGACGGTATTGATAACTGATAGCCTATACTGTGTGATCTGAGTGTAATGAGATTCACATAGTGCTGATATCTCGAGACATCCTATAGTACTATTGTTCTGTTGATCAGTTGTACAACAAAGATTATTGTTATCCTTATCATCTTTATATGCTGTGCCGGTAAACGTAGGCTGTCATGTTTCGCCTTCTTATCTGATCACCAGAGTCAAAGATCAGTTCAGTGTTTTGTCTCGAGCCAGCGATCTGGCCAGGATATCCTGGTATTTATCTCTTTGCCTTCCTCTTGCTCTATTTCCATCTTTCTTGCCAGTTTTATGTCCCAAAATTATTGACTGCCTATGTCTAAATGTTCTACTAAGTTTACGACTGTCATCTGCCTCGATAAGGACCGCTTCATCTGTTTTTATATCTTTCAGTTATATTCTTTTCAGTCTTTTCACAACCACATCTTTGTCGCTTTTGTTATACAGTGCCACTTTTTTGTTGTGCAGGAATTGATATCTCATCATTACCAATTTCCTTGTCGACTAACGTGGGCTATTGTGTCTCTCGACAATCTGCGATCTTCAACTAGGTGTGTTCAGTTCGTGTGTTGGCACCCCTCCATCCCATGACAAAAAGCTGTCAAGAATCTTCTCGCCCTGTATTTTCTGTCTCTTTTTTTCTTGTCCCCTATTCTCATAACATGACAAAAACATAATGACTGTTTCTTCTGATGGTATGATAATTTGTCTTTGAGCCCTCGCCTCTTTCAAAACATCTGGGTTGCTTTTTTTTTTTTTTTAGCTGTCCAGGAAATTATATGGATTCCTCTGTAAAATGACATCTCCGAGGCCTCAAGAAATTGTTTGACTTCTTTACTAATTGTCCAAGATTCACTGCCTTATGTTAAAACTGGCCCTATATAGCCTGCGATAATTTTTTTCCTGACCTCCAATGACAAGGATTTATTGCACAAAATGTTTTTTATTTAAAACGCAGATTTAGCCTGTCCTATTTTATTCTTTATCTCTGTGATAAATCATAAATCGGATATTATCCATGTACCTAGATACTTACATTTACCCCCCCCCCCTTACCTTTGCCCCACCCCCTCCTTTTTTCACTTTCAAAGGAGTTTTTCATAACTGTCTGGAATAACATGCAGATCTTGATGTGTGTCGGCGTCTGTGGCTTAAGTAAGCATTGCGAACGGGCTTCGTTCTTCCGTAGTGCCGGGTTCGACTCCAGCTGCAGGTTATTTTTTAGCAGACGGCATTGCGATGGTTTCAAAGTGGTATCGAGAGACAACCGTGCAGTAAGCAATGACTTCCCGTGTGGGTTCCGGGGACCCATTGCGGGGAAAACAAGAATAGATCCACTGCCTTCCCAGCAAGCATGTCGTAGGAGTCGATTAACTGGGGACTTCCTTCGAAGTCAGAGGGCATCTGTCCGAGCGATAAGGAACAACCAACTGCACACAAAAAAGTCGGATGTAAACGGATGTACACGCACAACAAAGCCAAAGTCCAAACGGACAAACAACCAGGACTTTCTGCCGGAGCTTACAACCGGTGAACAAAGAAGAAGAAGAAGAAGAAGAAGAAGAAGAAGAAGAAGAAGAAGAAGAAGAAGAAGAAGAAGAAGAAGAAGAAGAAGAAGAAGAAGAAGAAGAAGACAAGAAGAAGAAGAAGGCTATGACTGCTCAACGTAAATTGCCTCGTGAAATCACAAACAGCCCCCCCCCCCCCCCCCCCCACCCACCCCCCCCCAC